GGGGCTGAAATTGCAAGAAAGAAAAAGAAAATTTTGCTTGGTAATTGGTGGTGACAAGTGTCACACCATTAAGGGTCTTGACCAAGACCAATTGTCCAATCTTCTTATCACCTTGGAGCTGCACTTCTTCTTCATTTTTTCTGCTGTTTGGCCAAGAGAGAGGGAGAGAAAAACCCAAGTGAGAGCTGCCATTTTTATCTTGAGTTTGTGAGTGTTAAGTGAGCAACTAAAATTCTAAACCGATTAAAGAGTGAGTTGTGAGCTTGAAAAGCTAGGGGAACCAAGAATTCCAGGAGGAGGTGAAGTATTACTCTTACAAGCTTCATTTGTTGAGGTACAAGGCTAAACCATGGCTTTGGTTCTTTTATTTTGGTTTAAGTTGTTATATAATACTTGTTTTGGTTGGATTAGTGGTGATACAAGTTGTTATGATGATTTAAAGGTGATTTATGTGAGTTAGGGTTTGAGGTATTTGCTGCCTATCCTTGCTATATGGATGATATATGTTGTATTTAAACTTATATAAGTGGTTGTGGTGATGATTGGAGCAAGAAATCAAGAAAGGTTGCATTGAATCACAAAATTCCAGGTTTCTAGAAAATTTCAGCTCTATTCTGTCCGGTTTTATTGCACCATGTTAGAGGCCGAATTAGGCTTGGTATAAAACATGAAAGTTATATAGAATGGTATTTTATAGGTTCCTACAAAATTTCAGCTCAATCGGAGCAACGTAGCCTGTGAAAAGACCTAAATACCCTCACTATTCTAGGATGTTTCTAGTGTTCCGTTTTAGTCAGTTCATCCAGTTTATCATGTTTATTCAGTAGGATTCGTGCTGATTTAGCCATTTTCCAAAACATGAAAGTTTTAGTACTCTGTCTTAGCTTTTCAACACCTACAAGAACATCTTAAACGGACTTTGGTAGCCTGAGATATGACCATTTAAATGTAGTACGGTTAATTAGCCGATTTGTTGGAACCTAGTTCGGTGAACTGGGAATTTGACTGGGTTACACTGGAAATTTGACCAAGTGATCTTCATAAAAGTTGTAGGACTTCGTCTTAGCTTCTAAATGGTATAATTTACACCCCAATCCGATAAGCGTAGCCTTGGATGTGTCCATTCCGCAAAACCCTATCAAATCTGTCTTTTACTAAAGCTCATTTCCGCACTTGTTATTAACTTGAATTTTTGTCCTTGTATTGTCTTGAGCCTATTGGACGGCTATTGAAGTTGGATTGTTGTGTGTGTACCTTTGTGTTTGAATGAGAAAAATAATGAAGCCAAAATGGATGGAAAATTAGGTAAACACAAAGGGCATGCTGCCCAAATTTACGCTCGAGGACTAAAGAAATATACTTGCGACTTGAGTAAGGATTTGGCCGAACTTGTACCCTTGAGAAATACAATCATGACTACTAGAAATACGTTTTCCTTGTACTTTCGACTCAAATGGCATTTTCAAGTATAAATGTTACAAAGTTATATAGTTTGAAAAGCGAGCGAGTGTTTCACGAATATTCTCCAAGTGAATTTCCATTTCTTGATTCTTATTGAACGAAACGTCTAAGTTTCGAACCTTAGTCGATTTTAAAGTTCTGAAACAAAGTTTTATCGCAGATTTGGACTCCGAACTCGGAGTATAAACCAGACGTGATTACTAGGGGCACTTCATTTTGGTGAGTGCTTCCAAATACCTGATTGAACTGGACACTTGTTTTCAATACTTGATCTATATGATTAGATGATATATGATTGGCTTGATCGGGCAAGAGTGTACTCTATCGCACTTGCCCTTACTTGATATATACTTGTTTATTGTTGAAATTGAATTGATATGCTTGTTTATGTTGTGCGCACTTCCTGGAATTCCAGAAACCCTGCGGCAAGTTACTCGAGTCGAGCCGGCAAGGGCTTGGTCGATTGGGTAACGAACCCTGGGTCTCTTGATTGTCGAGTGGAGTGATATCTCCTCGGCTAATCGGTATACTCGAGTATTACCACCCGTGTTTCTTGAGGATTTTCGGCCCAGTAGGGGGATTGAATGGTGGACGGAGAGTAGCGTAAGTGGTGCTCTACTGGATTGGTTCCTTTACTTGAAAGTTGACGGAGTGTCAACTATTACGTGATCAAGCTCCGGATGATGAATGGAAGTTGGCTCCTGAGAGCCATCCGTATCCTTATTCTTTGGAATGATTATTTCTTATTGGATTATTGTTTATTTTGAAAAACTTTTACACTCGCTCATTTTGAGATTGCTACTTGACGTGTTATTGCTCACTTTTATGAACTCTTCATGCTCGTTACTTTGCTATATCGAAAACTTGTACTTATAAATAATGGTCAATTTGCTATTTGGAACCTCACTGGGCTTTTAGCTCATTCCACGCCATTTGTTTTCCTTACAGGGGTACGAGCGAGGCGTGAGATGTGTACAGACTAGCGTAGTCTAGTTGTTTTGGATTTTGTAATTGTACTCGCACTAGTCGCTCGATTAGGGTTGAATGTACTGAGACCTTAAATCTTTTGATTTATTTGGGATTGTATGGATGGTTGAGATAGAAATGAATGTATTCGTATGTTCCAAACTTGGGAACCGTTATTTCATTTATTATTGAGGTTGCACCTTATTTTATTTGATGCGAGTGAGTGAGTCCTGGCGAGAGCTGGGTAGGCGGTCTGCTAAACCCTAGGGTTCGCCCAGGGGGAGGTGGGGTCGTCACAGGGAATACTACTGTTACAGATTTCAGATCAGGGATGATGATGAATCGATGTTGCTGCACTCACTTAGACTATTACAACAGTATGCAGTAGATGGTTATGTTAAGATTGAAACGTCTAGGCTTGACTTTCATAGAAACCGACAGAACAACATTCGTTCTGAGGTTCTTCAAGGAGTCTTAGACAGTATTTCTATAGGCCAGACCAATGCTTCTAAAGTTGGCCGTAGAACCATATTACCAGCTTCCTTTATAGGTGGACCAAGGGACATGAGACGTCGATATCTTGATGCAATGTCCCTTGTGCAAAAGTATGGCAAACCGGACATCTTTCTTACTATGACCTGCAACCCAGCATAGAAGGAAATTCAGGATAATCTAAAGTACCATGAAAAACCTCAAGACAGACCGGACCTTCTGGCTAGAGTCTTTAGAGCCAAGTTTGAATTGCTTAAATTAGAAGTTTTGAACAAACAAATCTTTGGAGAAGTTGCAGCGTATGTTTATGTGATTGAGTTCCAAAAACGTGGATTCCCACTTGCGCATATGCCACTAATTTTGAAGCTTGAATACAAGCTCCTAAATCCAGAGTCATATGATAGAGTGGTTTGCGCTGAAATACCTGATCGTTCGAAGCATCCTCATCTATATTCACTTGTTGTGAAGCATATGATTCATGGTCCTTGTGGTGATATGGATAGAACTTGCCCTTGTATGAAGGATGGTCGTTGTAAAAATCACTATCCAAAGAGTTTTTGTAGCCAAACGACGCATGCTGAAGATAGTTATCCACAATACAGAAGGAGGGATGATGGAAGAAAAATCACAGTCCGAAGGCATACTCTTGATAACAGATGGGTTGTGTCTTATAGTCCCTATCTGTTAGCTACATTTGACTGCCATATCAATGTCGAAATTTGCTCGACTATTAAATTGGTGAAGTACATGTATAAGTATGTTTTCAAAGGCCATGACTCAATCAATTTTAGGGTCGTTTCGCATCATGCCCCTGATGACACTGATGACATAAAGGAATTTTAGCAAGGTAGATGGATTTCACCTCCTGAGGCTTTTTGGCGTATTTTTGAATTCCGCTTAAGTGAAATTACTTCAGCAGTCTATACTCTTCAGATCCATCTTCCAGACCAACAGTTTATTTCTTTCGACAAAAACTCTGATCTGTTGCAATTATTGAGCAAAGTTGATTTTTCAAAAACCATGTTAACTGAATTTTTCCATATGAACAAAACAAATGTGGTTGCACAGAACCTTAAATGTCTTTACAAGGATTTTCCTCAATTTTTTGTTTGGTCTCATAAATATAAAAGATGGACTGAGAGGAAGCGTCGAAAGGTGATAGGTAGAATGGTTACTGTTAGTCCAGCAGATGGAGAAAGATACTACTTAAGACTTCTTCTAAATCATGTTCATGGGCCAACTTCTTTTGATGATATTTTGACGGTTGCTGATCAAAAACTGAATTCCTTTAGAGGAGCTGCTTTAGCATTAGGACTTTTACAATCTGATACTTACATAGATGATTCACTCCAAGAAGCTGTGGCCTTCCAGATGCCATCTTCCTTAAGATTGCTATTTGCCACTCTGCTTGTTCATTGTTCTCCAGTAAATCCTCAGCTCCTGTGGGAAAAATTTCACCATGACCTCTCAACAGATTACCAGCACCAATGCTCATTTTCTGTCCTTACTCCTTCAGAGATCACAACAAGAGCGCTACAGGATATTAACAGATCATTGGAGCAGATGGGAAAAAGAATTACTGATTACCAATTAACTTCAAATGATTTCCATTCTCCTTTTCATGAACGATTGACACAGGAGATCGAAAGCAAAAGAGGTTTACATGTTGCTCCAGAGGATCTCTTACTCCCTCTCAAATTGAACTCTGAACAGAAAAATGCTTACGACTTGATTCTTGCAGCATGTTTTTCTGCTCAGGGTGAAGCTTTTTTTATTGATGGTCCAGAAGGGACCGGGAAAACATTCTTATACCGATCGCTGCTTGCGACATTAAGATCGCTGGGTTACATTGCCATTGCTGTAGCCACTTCTGGCATTGCAGCTTCTATTCTTCCTGGAGGACGAACAGCGCACTCAAGATTTAAGATACCATTGGACTTTTCAAAGAATAAAGCTTGTCAACTTAGCAAACAAAGCAGTGTTGCCAAATTGCTTTTAGAGTGTAAACTTATCCTTTGGGATGAAGCATCGATGGCTAAGCGAGAACGATTGAGGCATTTGATGATCTGCTTAAAGATATAATGGATTCTAATTTGCCTTTTGGAGGAAAAGTTGTAGTTTTTGGTGGAGATTTTCGGCAAACTTTGCCAGTTATTGAGCGAGCAACAAAGCATGTCCTCATAGAATCAAGCTTTCCTAACTCTATTCTCTGGTCTACGTTACACAAACTGAAACTCACGCAGAATATAAGAGCCATGTTAGATCTTGTTTTCTCTCAGTTCTTATTAAGAATAGGCGAGGGAAGAGAGCCTGTAGATGCAAACGGCGAAATCGCTTTATCACCTGATATAGTTATTCCTTATTATTATAAAGATCAATCTTTAAATAGGTTAACAACTACATACAATTATACTTTATCTAGCTGATTCTTTTTTTTAAACCCTATCTTTCATTGATTATAGCTACTTATAACTCTAAACAGGTTAGTTGAGAGTGTTTTCCCAGATTTGCAGCTGTATTCTAAAGATCCTTATAGGATGATAAATAGATGCATCCTTGATCCCAAAAATAGCTCTGTCGATGAGCTGAATGAGCTATTGATAAACAAATTTCCTGGAAATGTTCAAATTTATATCAGTTCAGATCGGACTGTTGAGCAGCGGCACCAAGGTGACTATGAAGATTTTCTAAATTCGCAGAATCCAAAAGGACTTCCTCCTCATAAGTTGCTGCTAAAAGAAAACTGTCCTATTATGCTTTTAAGGAATTTAAATCCTAATGAAGGATTGTGTAATGGGACAAAGTTAATATGTAGAGAGCTTAGCTTGAATATCATTTCTACAGAAATTGTTTTTGGCATTCACGCTGGGAAAACAGTCTTCATCCCAAAAATACCTCTTCAGACCTCTGACAATGAAAGGAATGGGATTCCGTTCATAAGAACTCAATTTCCTGTCCGCCTTTGTTTTGCTTTAACCATTAATAAGGCACAGGGACAAACTCTTGACTATGTGGGTCTTTACTTGCGTGAACCTGTTTTTTCTCACGGACAGCTTTACGTTGCACTTTCTAGAGCTAGAACTGCTGCTGACCTTAAAGTTCTTCTTATTCCTGGAACTTTTGATGAGAAAAAGATTGACTGCAGAACTAGGAACATTGTCTTTAATAAAATCTTTCATTTGACTCAGCAGTAAAGATTCTGTCTAATTTCAAGATTCTATCTGATTCAAGAATATTTTTGAATGAGGTACACATGCATATTTATCTTTCTTTAATGAATATACTCTTACACTTAACCTGTGTACTAATACTTAGTTATCTATATTTTGATTTTCATACAGAATGGCTAACTTGCTCCCTATCCGAGACATTGTCCCTTCCATGAAAAATTTGAGTTGCATCATCACTGTTCAGGAAAAACAGCAGATCACTGACTCAAAGGGAACACCAACAAAAAAACAAAAATTTATCTTCTATGATACAGAGGTTAGTGCGCCTTTGTACCCACACTCTCTCTTATGGTTGTAATAACAAAATTTCCTACTTTTTAGCTAATGCTATACTCTGTGACAGCCCCACCTCACCCTAAGGCAAACCAAAGGGTTCGGCGGACCGCCTGCCCAGCTCTCGCCAGGACTACGGAGTCGATTCACACAAACCCTATATAGTACGCGTGAGAACTCAACGAAAACGAACAATTGGAGACCACCAAGGGTTAAACAGAGCTTACCAAACCATACGGAAGTACGGGACATCGATTAAACACTTATCCATATATTTACATCGGAGTCTTGAACCAATGAACTAAATACACGCCAGAGTATTCACGCTACACAAAATACAATTAGGGTTTCAGTTACAGAGGAGCATAAACAAAAGAAGTCCAACAACTAGCTCAACTCTTTTCTTCCAAAAATCTTGGTTTCAAAACATGGAACCCTGTAAGGAAAACAAAGGTAACAAAAGGGGTGAGCTTGCGCTCAATGAGGTACCGGACATATAGCAGTAAAATCATGGTCTTTCATGTTGAATCAATCAGATACATATACCAGATATAAAGGAAAGCATTTAAACACCGTGGTTCAAAGGGAAAGGATACGGGTGGCTCTCAGGAGCTAGATTTCCATTTGCAGTACTTGATCCGAACCCGTTGACTCTCCGTCAACGTAAATAGAACCAACATATCCGTAGACCCCACTTTACACCAATTTTCATCCACCAAACATACCCTACCGGGCCCGAACTCCATACAGTACAGAAATGGTAATACTCGAGTATACCGGAATCAAGAGTCTCAATACCCAAAGATTCCCAGAACAGACTACTGTGGTTCGTTATCTAATCGACCAGGCTCTTGCCGGCCCGACTTGAGTCACTAGCCACAGGTGTTGAGCTCAGAGGTCACAGAAAGGTCGTTGGATACCAGCCTCCAAACGACGTCCGAACAGATTCAGATACTGTTAACAGATTATTCACATTAAATAGGCATATGGACAGACAAGAGAGCGAGTGTGATAAAGTACACCCTCGTCTCAAACAGAATAAACAGATAGTACAGTCATTCAGATCCCAGATTGCAAGTGCAGAAATCAAGTTAAGTAACAAATAAGGGGAGTGGTACACTCACCGGTTTCAGTACAGATACTTCAAAAGTTTTTGCCCAAAATAGAGCTTTGATCACCAAGAAACCTTAAAATAACCAAGGTGAAACAATTATGGTTCCCACTATCACGAATCCAGTACACAAAATGCATAAATAAGACTCAATTATAAGTCGTGTGCCTGATCAAATTAGCTACCAGTGTACAGAAATAACAATGTGGTTTTGGAGTAAAAGGTAGCGGTTGGTATCAATGACATGAACACCCTAAAACCCTTCGCTCAAGTCACAAGTAAATCCAACTAGCCTTCAAGTAAAATTTCGGGCAGCATATCCCTTGTGTTTACCTATTTTGTGAGGACTCGCAAAATTTACATATTTAATCTCCTATTTCTAGCTTATTTAATTATTTATTTGGCCTTTTATTCCGAATATTATTTTCTAAACTCTTGAGCCCTAATTACATAGAAATATAGTTTCATTATATTTTTAAAGTGACTTGTATCAAAAATTAATTTCCGGGAGCTCGTTTAGTGAAAATAGTGAACACGTCTTTGGAAATCTTGACCGATTGAGAGAACAATAAGTTTGGAATATTGGAGATTTGTATAATAGACCTAAATTAGGTATTTTAATGTTTAAATACTCAAGTGATAGTTATTAGTACTATCGTTATAAGAATTTCTCGGAAGTTTCACATTATTGCGCTTAAATTGGAGATACGCGTTTTCACACGCGCGATTTAAATTGAGGAACGTTAGACCCTTATTTTGGGACAATTGAGAGTGAATAATATTTATATGAATATAAGTGCATTAGAGGTTTATTGCACTAGTGAAACAAACTCGAGAGGAATCGAGCACGAAACGCGGGAAAAAGAGTTGACCTTTGAATCAATGAGAGCCACACATTTTAGTTTCACATGGGAGCATCACACTAGATTAAAACCCTCCATATACTTACCTCAATTGCTGCCTCTTTTGCTTCCATTCCAGCCGTGCAACATCAAGATAGAAAAGGACCAAGTTTACTTCACCAAATCCTACTCAATCTTCATCCGATTCACACCAAACTTAAACCACCCTTAGCTTAACACTTGAGGAGTATTTTGAGCTGCAAAAGAGAGCTGAAAAGCCACGGTTTTCTGGAGCAAAGAGTGGCCAAAATTTCTGCCTTCATCATCTAATCAAGTAGGTGTTAATCCAACACTTAAATCTTGCTTTATGAAGATCATCTTACATGTATAAGGTAGTATTTGCATTTGGGTAGCTTGTTTATGGTGTAAAATGAAATGGGTGGGCTCTATGAACTCCCACCCTTGTCTTGATGGCTGATGTGATGATTGATGATGAATTTAATGTTGGTTTAGTGCTCAAAATGGTGGATTAATGGTGTGTAATTAATAGAAACTTCATTGGGTGCAAGAAGCAAAAGTTTCCGATTTTACCCCTGCCTTGTCCGACCACTCATGTGCAAAATTTTGATGTTCTAATGGTTTGATTACGTTTTTTACATGTTATATTGGTTGTGTACAAAATTTCATTGAAAAATAACATGATTTGGTTGGTCAAATGAGTTGATTTCCAAAGTTAGCAAAACTGGAAAATGAATCCCGTATTGCCCAGGCAGTCATTTTGTATCGGCCATAACGCTTTGCTCCGATGTCGAAATCAAGTGCCGTTTGTGGCATTGGAAACTAGACATTTCCAGATTTCTATTGGTACCAATTTCACGTTCTGGTTCCACTTGAGTGAATCACACCATTCGATTGAAAATCACTGTCCTGTTTCGTTTCTCTCCAGGAGACAGGACAGGACTTGTATCTTGATGCTCAAAAACGAGCTGTTTGTGGATAGAATTTAAAATGGTTTCTTCTGATAAAATTCATATTTATGAGAGAGATTTCCAACGCCATCAACCACGCCCAATTCCAAGTTGAATTGAGTGAGTTGTGGCCAAAGTTCGAAACTGCTACAGTGATAGAATTTTCCACTTGGACAGATTTGTAACTAACAATGATTTGGGACTTGTTGTTTTGGAAACTTTGATGTCCAACATATACCAAACCTTATATTAGATGTTTCTTGGACTTTGTTTCACAAATAAACCAGATTTGGATTGGTTGCTTTGGACAAAATGTTTAAAAAAGGAAAGAAGAGCTAAAAGACAGTTTACATTGGGGAAATTTCTTGAACTTTGATGGTTTAGTTAACTACCTTCCCATGTGAATTTTTAAATGAAATTTGATAGAAGAGTAATCCTCATATGGAGGTTTAATTGTACGAAATTTGGTAATATTCTAAGACCATTTTGATATGTAAATGATGTCACAAAATTTGCTCATCGAATCTGGAAAACTTTTCGTTTTCTCTTAGCCAAATGGTCAAATCTAATTTGGGGAGTTTTATTTCGAAAATTTGGATGTCAATGGTCTTTAAATTGCTCAGTGGATGTTTATGAACTCTTGGTTTCAATAATGGAGAGATTTGGAACTGATTTCATGGTACAAAAAGTTTGTAAACAAAAGAAAAGTGAGAAGGTAGTTTAGCCTTGAAACTCTTCATAAACTTTGGTTGTTTAATTGACTACCTTACCGTGAGAGTTTTTGTATGAAACTTGGTAGAAATATTGTTCACACATGGAAGATTTAGTGTACCAAGTTTGATGTATTTCCAATGCCAACTCGATGACCAAATGATACTTCGAATCTAGTCTTCAAACCTGGAAAATAGCCCAACAGTCTTAACTTTTTCAGCAACTTGGAGCTACTATATCTTGATGCTCAAAACTCCGTTTCTCGTTCCACTTGTTTTGTTTTAAACGTTGATTGTAACTCTAATTGATTTACAAATTTCGGAGGCTTATTTACAACGTGTGAATTTTACCGAATTTTCAAAGTTGCCCAAAAACCAATCTTGAAACTGTCTTGGTATTCTAAAGCAATAACTTTGAGCCAACTTTTAAATGTCATCCATTTGGAATCATGGAAAAGTATATTCTAAGAACTTTTAGTAATTTTGAATAGGTTTCCAATGGTATTAAGTTTTCCAATTTTGGATCTATATAATGAAAGATATGATTTTTCTAAAATCGATACTCAAAGCTGAAATTTGTCAAATTCTTAGAAAATAAGATTTTTGAAACTTGCCTTCTTTTCTCGATATCGATTGAACATTTTGAACTCGATTTCATGAAAAATGCTAGTCTTTCTCTTTAGAGTTTAAAACTTCACTCTTGAGCCTCGATTATGAATAATTAAGACCCAATTCATGAATTCTCTTTAGATTGTACAACTTTCTTTGATAAGTAGGGGTTCTAAGTGATAGTGTATAATAGTTGATGGTTAATTGCTCAGGCGCTCAAGAAGACCTTCAAGAGAAACTCGAAGTGGACGCCCAAATGCTTGTTTGAGAACTACTCGCTTGTTTTGACTAGGTGAGTGTTCCATATAGGAATACGTAATTGAATAAGAATAGGACATGCTTATTTCATGATTATTAAGTGTTAAGTGCTATGTGTTGAGTATTTACCATACTCATGCCTATTTAAGGAATGTATACTTGCATTGTATATCTACATGAATTGGTTAAATGA